TTCGTTATGCTACCTTCAAAATTGTATGGTCATTTACCTTATGGATGTCTAGTTCTTACTGAATTTGATGTTGTTGATTTAAGCAATGTCATTCGGATTCAATAGCACACCTCCCCCAAAGAAACGACCTCGAACAGAACAACATGGTGACGACGGCGATGATGACGCTGATTCAGACGATTCCTTCAACGATCCTGTTCTTGCGGAACCAAGTCAAATCACTCGTGCGTTATGACCGTCATAGCCTATAACCTTTTGAAAATCTTTTTCCATTATAGAGGCTATCCTGCAACGGAGAGAAGCTGTTTGCGTTGACGACGGTCGACAGATGGGATTTTCCGTAGCTCAGTCTTCGGTGTTCAGTTCCCCACTTCGTCCTCAAAGAGATGATGATACCACCACGAGGAAATCTTTGTTGAGGGCCAGTGCTGTCACTCCTCGACGTTTTAATGCCCAAGTAAGCGTTGTGAATCCTTAAAGGCTCTGAATTTCGGCTGCTTTTGCGCTTTGCAACATTTTCCTTTGGAAAAGACATCTCTTAATTCAGGATCGAAGTGATTATCATCATAGCGGACAAGTGTTGATGCTAAAAAATCGTGTTGAAAATTTGGAGAGAGAAAAGGAACGATCGGCTGCCGCTATACGTGATCAGGTAGTGTTAGTATGTTAATCTCCAGAATATCTGGTCAGTTATTCCAGATTATCGCTAAAGAAAAAGAACATAAATCAGAATTGAGTAGACGAGAAGAGCGGATACGTCAGTTGGAAGCACAAATTCTGTCTTTAGTAAGTTGCTTTTGTTCCAGTAATGTGTTCTTCGGCTATTTACTCATTTCGTTGAATCTTCAAGTAAGGGAAGGGAAGAAGTGTATAGAAAGAGAGGTGAACGGACTTGCTCAAAAGCAGTGTCCTGGCAGAATTTCGTTTCCCGGTTTTTCACATTTCCGAGGCCTTCTCGCCATGAGGAACTCATATCTAGGCTTTTCCGCGCATATAAAGGGCGAGAATAGGTTTTTCTGGAAGCTTTCGAACTCCGCATTCTGTGGAAATTGCGTGTCAGTGGGCGGAGTCCACGAGGGAGGCGAGGTGCGAAGACTTCCGGCGTATTTTCACTGAATGCGGCCTGGGAAGTTTTGAAAAGGCTTATTTTCGTCAATTTTATGCGCGAAAAAGCCCAGATATGGGTTTTTTCATGGCGAGAAGGCCCCGAAAATACGAAAACTGG